AAGCGATGCTCCAAAATGCCATCCCGCGCGTTCCGACCTACGAACGGCTCAAAACTAACCAAAAACAACTCAAGTACATCAAACAATGCTAACGGAACCAATCCCGATCAAAAAAGATCAAATCTTGAATCAAAAGCCCAAAACCAGCCAAAAGCCCAACCGGGGCCCGCACTTCGGACCCCGACAAAATTTACAAAATCCAACAACCCATTCAATTACGAGTCCAACCATACTAGTTTCACTCAAATCTGACTCCAATTCGATGTTCAAAACTCAAAAATTCATATTATGAAACTTTAGGCCAAAAAACCCAATTTCCTCTTTAAATTTCACAATCCAATTACCAAAAACGAAGATAGATTAAGGAAATATAACCAAAACCGAGTAGAGAACACTTACCCAATTCATATGGTGAAAATGTTTCAAGAATTGCCTCAATCCGAGCTCCATAGCTCCCAAAATGAAGAAAGAATCAAAACCCTCGTTAATATAGCTTCTGCCTAGCGATTCCGCATTTGCGGACAATTCGTCGCATCTGTGACTACCGTTTTTGCGGAAAAACATCGCATCTGCGATAAATGGCCTTGCCCAGCAACCCTCGCACCTGCGGTATCAAACTCCGCATCTGCGAAGACCCTCGCACCTGCCCTTCCACTCGACGCGCCTGCGCATCCGCACCTGCGCCCTTTTCTCCGCTTTTGCGGGCCTCCTCATCCAGCTCTCATCTCGCATCTGCGATGCCTTTGTTGCTTCTGCGGCCATCACACCTGCGCAAACTAACCGCAGGTGCGATCATACCAGAACCAGCAGCCTTCAACAATGCAACATGAAGTAAAAATGATCTGAACCTCATCCAAAACTCATCCGAACCACTCGGGACCCCGTCCGAATATACCAACAAGTTCCATAACGCAATACGGACCTACTCGAGGCCTCAAAACACATATAACAACATAAAAACGACGAATCACACCTCAAATCGAAATCTATGAAGTTCGAACTTTCAAATTCAATAACTCGTGCCGAAACATAGCAAATCAATCCGGAATGACTTCAAATTTTGCACACAAGTCACATTCGACATTACGGGCGTGCTCCAACTTTCGGAATCGGAATCCGTCCCCAATATAAAAAAGTCCACTCCCGGTCAAACTTTCCAAAATTTCAACTTCCGCAATTTCGAGCCAAATTCAACCACGAACCTCCAAATCACAATCCAGACGCGCTCTTAAGACCAAAATCACCCAACGGAGCTAACAGAACCATCAAAATTCCAATCCGAGGTCAATGCTAAAATGTAAAACTTGGTCAACTCTTTCGAATTTAAAGCTCCCTAGTTGAGAATCATTCTTCCAAATCAGTCCCGAATAACCTGAAAACCAAACCGACGATTCACACAAGTCAAAATACCTCATACAGAGCTACTCACGCCTGTAAACTACCGAGCGAAGTTCAAATGCTCAAAACGACCGGTCGGGTCGTTACAACAACACTGTGACAAATTTTCCGTTATCATGATGTTCTTGTGTTTTCATTGGACCAAGCTCATCGTTGCTTTCCTTTGTTTCATCGGTACTAGAAAATACATGAGTTGCACCAACATGACCTACATAAAGGAATTTTCCAGGAAAGAATTCATGCAATGTGATGGTCTTTCAGAACTTCGACGATAAGGTACCGTTAATCTTCTTGCTAATAGAAGATTTGATAATTTTTGGTGTTTGTAGCTTATCCATATCGCTCATTTTTGCTCTTGGCTTAGGAAGTCGTAGCCTCATAATTGCTTGATGTTTTCGTTTCTTGTGAGTGACTAGAGTCCAACCCTCATCGTCTTTGTCTTTGGACTCAGTGTCTTGCTCTAGTGAACCTTCAAGAGTTTTCCTTGGAAGATCAACTTCAACGGGCTCGAAACTTCCAAATTGTAAGAAGGCAGTGCTTGACACGTTCTGCAACCTTGAACACTTCTTTTCCTCGAGGGCGGTACTTGCATGATTTGCTTTTGCTATTTCATCCATGTCTATGATGATTTTTCCTTCACTTACAAGAGCCATGATTTTTTCCTTCAAGACGAAGCATTTCTCTATAGGGTGGCTAATGACGCGATGAAACTGTAGTATTTCGGATCGCCAACTTTACCAATTTCCTCAGGCCTTTTTGATTTAGGGAGATCGATGAATTTCTTGGCCAGCAATTCATCAATGATTGTGGGTACGTTTGAATCTGGAAACGGATAAACCTTAGCCTCTAATTCCTTCAAGGTGGGACGACGTTTTTCCTCTTTGGGATATTGACTCGTGGTCTTATCCTCCTTCACCTTTTGCTTGGTCGTGACTTTCACAGAAGTTGCTTTCACCGCCATAGATTCTTTGGTTTGGTTCTTTGATGTAACATTTTTCTTAAACTCCTTCTAATCAGCAAATGGAGATGCCTTTCCATGACTTGCGATGCTTGAATCCATGTCGTGCGCTCGCATTGCAAGTTCTTCAAAAGTTCGCGTTTTGATCCCTTGTAGGATGTACAAAAGGCCCCAGTGCATTCCTTGAATGCACGTCTCCACATTAGATACTGCTGAAAGGCGATCCTTGCAGTCCAAACTTAGCGCTCTCCAACGATTGATGTAATCCACCACGGGCTTGTCTTTCCTTTGCTTGGTGCCTGTCAACTCTATCATGCTTACAGTTCTTCGGGTACTGTAAAACCGATTGAAGAATTCCTTCTCATGTTGCTCCCAACTATCAACGGATTCGGGCTCCAAGTCAATATACCAGTCAAATGCGTTCCATTTCAGCGAACAAACAAATTGTTTTACCAAAATGTCACCATGCGTTCCAGCATTGCTATAAGTGTCGACCAAGTGGGCAATATGTTGCCTTGGGTTTTCTTTGCCATCAAATTGATGCAGCTTTGGTGGTTGATAATTGGTTGGCATAGTTAGACAATCAATCCTCTTAGTATAAGGCTTAGAGTAGTACAACGAACTTTGTGATGGTCCGCCATATTGAGCTGTGATGGTGTTTGTTATTATGTCTTTCAATTGTTGGACAGATAACGCAGCAACCGAAGTGGATTGCTTTTCCTTCTGAATGCTGAACTTGGCAAGCGATTCCTCAATAACCATTTTTTGCGAGGTGAAGACAGGTGAACGAGGAGGGACGTGGCTCGACTCTCCAGGTGCATAGGCCTCCAATTTGTTCATGAGTTGAGCGATTTGAAGGTCTTTGTCTTCAACAGATTTCTTCAAGACTCCTATAGTCTGTTCCATCATGGCAAACTTTTCGTCCACGTTAGTTGCGTCAGTCATTAAGGCGTTGACTTTTGTTAAAACTGAAGAATCCACAAAATCCTCAAATCCACCAAGGTTGGAGGCTGTTTGAGAAAGTTCGTCAAATAGCAAGAATGAGGTGTTGCCCCCAAAGATTGTAGTTGCAGACGTCATGTGAGATTTGCTCTTCTTTGAGATCACTTGAACTTGCTTCGAGTGATCGGGCCAACATGGCTGAGCTCAACGGATGCGGCAGTAACATCTTTGCATGGAACATCATCACACTTCCGGAAGGCCACTGCAGCAGTGGATCTGAAGTTTGTGGTTTTCAACTTATAAAAGGAAGAGATGAAGGGTAGAACTGGTCCCACTAGGCGTGCCAAAATTTGTTCGCAGCTAATTTTCGTAGTACGGAAAATAAACTGCAACAAAAATAATATGAAGAAAAAGATATTTTATTGATGAATATTTGTGAGTACAATTCTATGTATCCCTTGGTTCTCCTCTTTGAAATTCTCCGTGATTCGAGGGCTTGAGAAACATCTTTCTCGAATGTAGGATGATGCAGACCTCCTTGTGATGTATTTAATCGCCAAGAACGTCGAGCAGCGCTTCGTTGTTTCGGGTTGATCTCCGGAAGAACTCCGTTAATCACTCCTTTGTCGAAGAACTTTGCACTTGATGATTGATCTCTCTGTTTGCGGTTGCCTTCACCAATAGCGGAATTCTCTTCTCCAACTCTGAATGTCCTTAAAGAGTTATGTAACCCCTCTATTTATAATGGTAGAGGATGGACAATCCAGCTACATATGAACTCTCTTGTTTGATTATGATTGGCTCATGTGAGTCATCGAACTTATCACATAAGTTATGTGATAAGCTTGCTTGTGATTGGCCAAGACATGTCGTTTTAGACACTTGGCAACTCTTGATTGGTCACTAATTTAGGCTGGGATTGCCACATCATTTCACACGTGGCGTGATCTTGTTGGCTTTGAGTTTGACTAGATATGCCATGTCACTTGACACATGGCATGAGTCTGGGCCTTAAGATGAAATGGACCCTGGGCTTGAAATAATAAAATGGACTAATTTAATGTAAAGTCCAAATTGATTATTCAACCCAAATAAAACTAAGATTCAACCCCAAATTTTATATGGATTAAACTTAATAAATTTTATATGTCTACAACGACGAAACTGTTAAGTTGGTTGGGGCACTAGTTGGAACTTGCGTTATTGTGGTTTTAGTTGATGTTGATTTGTAACTCGCAATATATAAAGGTGATGGTCATCATGTCTACATGCATTATTGGGATTTCGGAGGTTACGATTAAAAATGATTGTGTAAACTTTATGCTCTTAGGTACAAAGACTCATTCCTTCATCATCCTTTTATTTTGACTAGACAAAGGGTAAAGGGTATATCTGGGGAAGTTTCGGTTCCTTCTCAATTTTGGTGGAAGTATTCTTCCATCTGATTTTGTTGACATGGTAAATGCATTGTGTAATTAAAGTTGCATAATAACAACATTGTTCATGTTGCAATTATCTTTACTTCATCAAAAAGGCAATTGTTTGTGCTGCAGACGAGCAGTTGATCATCTTCACCAGTTTTGAGATTTTCAAAATGTAGGACTGTATTAAGTGCTTCATACTAGTTGGTGTTACAGCAGATGTAAAGATGAATCAATTCACTATTTCATGGTGAATCAAACTCTGAGTTTCATTTTTGCAGCTTGGAAACTGCCAATGTGGTGGATCTCTTAGATTCTGCTGTTCTATCTCGCCTAGTTGATATCATGAGGACGTCATCCGCAGATTTGCAGAGGAAATCTGCTTCAATCCTTGAGTTCGCCGCAGTTATTGAGTCATGCACGGAAAAGATCCTGTCCGTTGACCTAGAAAGTGGGCTGGATGCTGTTTTCCAGCAGAGAACTTTAAATGGTATGAGAGATTACTTGCCTGCAATCCTCATTAAGGCCCAGTCTGTCAGAAAGTGTGGCTTCACTTTTCCCTTTTTAGTAGGTTTCTTGATCCTTCTTTGAAGTACGTAGTAGTCTGTAACTGCTGCTGTTCAACATAACATGGTAATATGGAAGTCTTAGGAAATCTTCTGGAGAATACTACCTTGAAGAAGGAAACCATGGTTTCTGTTTGATTTCAAGGAATGTCAATGTGCTTGTAAATTTCAAAAGTAGTGCCTCCTACTATCAAAGTAGGAGATTAGGATGTTCTTTTCTGGCATTTAAGCCACAAATTACGCCCCAAGAACTTACAAGTTACAATTAATAGTTTTCCTAGTTCACCTCAGGCCTGTACTGGTTACATTTTGGATTCAGTTGTGATCCACAACATTTTACCTTCCATTTACACCAAATTATTATCACTCACTTGCCAATCGTCCCTCTCTCTCTCTCTCTCTCTCTCTCTCTCTCTCTCTCTCTCTCTCTTTGGGTACATGTACAATTCTACTTTCCACCTTTCAGTTTTTTCATTCATCCTATTTGTCTATGCTTCAAATACCCTGAGTATGCTTAGCAAATTCACCAATATTATTGTTCATGTGTCTCTGAGCTTCTTTGGTGAGGAAATGTCCCAACTCCAGAAGTGCTCAGCATATACCAAGTTCTTGACAATAGTGGTGTGCCTTTTGTGTTCATTGCTTTACTGTTATGTTGTATATATTTCTCTTTAGTTCTGTGGAAATGCTCATTCTTAACCACCACAAGTTGATTTTTGTAACTGAGTAAACCTGTAGACTACAGATGATTTGGGAGTTCTTACATTTGTGACCAGTTCACTGTTTTCCTCAGGCCGGTACTGAGTAAATCATTCTTTAAGCAGAAACTGGAAGATAAATTGGTGGTCAGTGATCTGCCTTAATCTGTTTATCTAAGACAAGAAATTTTTGGCATAGGGTTTTCACATTCATGGGCTGCAGAGACTTGCTTTAGTCTTTTGATTTATGTAGCGTAGCCAGCATACTGGAGGCTGTTTCAAGTAGTTTCTAAAAGATGATTCTGCACAGTTTGACATGTTAGCCATTTAATAGCTCGTTCCTAATTTATGTTACTTGGCTAAACGAAGAAAACTTAGAAGCATGGTGGATGATCTGATGATATTTAGTCAATTTTCTTACTTTGGTGGTGTGGGGATCCTATGCTAAATACTAGCCTCTATCAAGACTTGAGAATATTTGCCTTAAATTCTATTGGAAATAAATAACTTGCTGGATTCATCATGATATTGCAGACGCAGTCTGAAATAGATCTGCAGAACCCGGAGTTTCATGCGCTTGAGGTTGAAGAGGCTGGTCATGCGATAGCTGGAGCATCCCGGCTACTTACAAGACTGCTGGACTTTGAGCAGTTCTGTCGTAAAGCAAATGCATCTCATTTTACAAAGTTACTGCGAAAGGTTCTCAAATCAGACATCCCTCTTTACCACAAAGACTGGGTTGCTGCCTGTTTTGTGAAGCTCCGCTATCTCTCTGGTCCATATTTTGACTATGATAATCCGATCAACTTAGAGGTAACTCTTTATGAGACGATCCCAATGCTGGTAGAACAGATCAAGACTTCATATTCATTGGAAGTACAAGAGGCTGCTGTTGTAGAACTCAACAGAATAATCTCTGAAGAGGTGGTGAATTCCACCAGAGCCGTGGCTGCCGAGGGAGGGATATTTACATTGGTGAAGCTGCTCGAAAATGGGAGTGAACGAGCTGTTGAAGCATCTCTAGCAATACTGTATAATTTGAGCATGGACAGTGAGAATCATGCTGCGATTATAGCTGCAGGAGCTGTGCCAATTTTGAGAAGACTTGTACTAACGCAAAGGTCACATTGGATGCTTACCTACATGATGAATTCAGCTAAATTCTTACCAGTTGTAATATAAAAATTATGAGTTCATGTTGTTAGTAATATAACCCTTCTTTATACAAAACCCTCTATTTAGTCTTCAAGCTGATCTCTTCTGCGATGAGAGAATTTTGTGAATTGAGCCAGGAACAGATATTTAATGCTATGTATCTTATACAGAGACAACTGTGTGGCCTTCAAAGAATTGGGTTTAGTTTTTTATTTTTTGTTTGAAAACTAAATTGTTTTTCCAAAGCTGAACCAAAAAAAAGAGATATTATTATTCTTATAATCATTAATTAAATGAGACCCATACTTATTTTTCAAACTTATATAATTTAATAAGTGGTTACAAGCTGAAATAAGTTCCAAAATCATTATCTTGTGAAATCCATTAATTGACATCCACGGAGATTTTCATAATTACTTATGGTTTCGCAAAATATTACAATTATTAGTTGAATAACATGTTCAACAACCTTAACATATGGTAAAAGTATAAAAAAGATATACCCTAAAATACGGTAGTTCACTATATAAAAGGAAATTAGAATGATAGAGAAAAAATTTGGGCGTCTTGTACAAGGATAACACATGCAAATTGAGAAATAGTCCAAAACCGATAATAAGAATCGCAAAAGGCCAAATATATCCCTGTACTTTTGAAAATGGTCTAAGAATACCCCTCGTTATACTATTGGGCTATATATACCCTTCCTGTCATACTTTGAAACAAATATACCCTTATTTTGGATGGAGTGCCACATGTCAGCACCAGATGAAAACGACACATTTCTTTTTTTTACCCGATCCGTTTTAAAAAATTCACCACCCGACCCGTTTTAAAATTCAGTTTTTTTAAAGCATATATTTTGTAAAAACTGGAATTTTTTTTTGGTAAAAATTAAAAAAAAAAGAAATTTGCAAAATATATATTTTTAAGTCTTTTTAATTTTTTTAAAGTATTGTTTTTGTAAAAACTGAAATTTTTTTTTTAAAAATGCTTTAAAAACTGAAAAATATATATTCTGTAAAAATTGGAAAAAAAAGAATTTGCAAATTTTCAGTTTTTTAAAGTATTTTTTTGTAAAAACTGAAAAAAAAATATATTTTGTAAAATATTTTTATTTTTTTAAAACTAATTCATATGTAGTCCACTGCTTTAGGAGTCTTTTTTTTTCCAGCTTTTTAATTATTTTTTTCAGGTTTTACAAAAACAAAATACTTTAAAAACACCGAAAAGACTTAAAAATATATATTTTACAATTTTTTTTCCCAGCTTTTACAGAATATATTTTTCAGTTTTTAAAGTATTTTTAAAAAATATTTTTTTTCAGTTTTTACAAAAAAAAATACTTTAAAAAATTGAAAAGTCTTAAAAATATATATTTTGTAAATTCCTTTTTTTTTTTTTTTAGTTTTTACAAAAAAAATTCCAGTTTTTACGAAATATATGCTTTAAAAAAACTGAATTTTAAAACGGGTAGGGTGGTGGATTTTTAAAACGGATCGGGTAAAAAAAGAAATGGGTCGTTTTCATCTAGTGCTGACACGTGGCACTCCATCTAAAATAAGGGTATATTTATTCCAAAGTATGACGGGAAGGGTATATATATCACAATAGTATAATGAAAGATATTTTTAGACCATTTTCGAAAGTATTTGTTCTTTGCCGTAATAAGAATATTGAATTTTGTCCTGCAAAGAAGACGATCCATGGGATATTTTTGAGGAATTCCTCACAAAATACAACTGCTAAGACAATTTCATTCTATAACAAAAAAAGTGTAAACAAACATATCCAAAATGATTGGGCTAAAGTTCATCTCTGTGGCAAACCCTCGGAAAATACTTGCATCTTCATCTCGACCCACTGACCCTTCACCCTCTCTTCTATCTCCTTCTCCTTCTTCTAATAACTTAAACCCTCCACTCCTCAAATCCCAACCAAGACTGGAGCTGCAGAAGAAAAAGAAGCAGAATCAAAGGCAACTTTCAGTTGCAGAGATTGAAAGAGCCATTGGTGCTGGCATTTTCCGAGACAGAGATACCAGCAGGCAAATACCCTTTACTTTTTTCAACATACTACTATCTTGGTGTTGCTATTTTGCTGAATCTTTCAAAATTATTGTCTAGCTAAGCTAATCTAAGAAAAGATTCATTGCTCTTATTTGTTAAGGGAAGCAAAGGAGAGCAAGACCTTGTTTGATTCAATTTTGTCAAATTCTGAAGGAGATGTGGAAAAGAAGCTAAGGGAAACTGGTGAATGGCTTATTGATAAAACTGAAGACACATCTGCCTCTGCTGGTAGTAAATTCCTTTTATATTTACTTCTTTTATTAAATACTTAACAATCTTGAATTTTTGTTTGTTGTCACAGGAAAGAAGATTTTAGTTGTTGTGTTTAAATGGATTCTACCCTTGTGGATACTTGCATTTCTTGTGGCTTCTGGGATGGTCAATCTACCATTTAGCACCCCATTTCTTGATGACTTACTTCTGTAAAGCAGTTTAAACTCATAGAGACTTTTTGTTACTTTCTCTTTTATAAAACATCTGTACTACTTCTTCCTTACTTCTTCCTTATTAAAGAGGAAATCTGGACAATAAACTACTTAAAAGCTGAAAAATAAATTCAAAAGATCAATGTGTTGAAGCCAATGTTGAAAAAAATAAGAGAAGGGGTTGAGAGCTAGCTGACTTGGTGGGCTCATTTTTTTCCGCAGTTTAGGTGGGGGGTTCAGAACTCATTAGTAGCGTTGTATCCCCTCTTACCCTCCCCCCAAACCCTTTTCCTCCTCCTGATGTTTAAAAAAATCAATAGAAACATGGTTTGTAGATATCTAAAGAATATGATCTAAGCTTGGACGTAGTTATCGCGATCTATATAGTTTAGTGATAGTAGTTTCTTCTACCTCTGGCAGAATTTTCAATTCTGGCGCGTTTGAAGAGAATGTGTTGAGAACTATGATTCTGTATATATCCTCTTTGCACCATTTTGTGTGTTTCTCACAAATTACATGAAAACATTATGTTTAAATGTCGTATTTAAATGAGAATGGCTTGTACTCATGCATTAGAGACAGGGATTAAAAATAAAATGCTAAAATGTCACAAGCTTTGTCTTTACAATGATATCTTTCTTTGTATTAATGAGATTGATGTAACGACCGACCGATCCTTTTGAGCTTTAGCATTTTATTTGGTGGTTTGAGACTTTGAGTAGCTTCATATGATGTATAACTTGAATGTATGGTCGGTTTTGGTTTTCGAGTGGTTCGGGATTTATTTTGAAGAATGACTCTTGATTTGAAAACTTTAAGTTGGAAGAGTTGACCAAGTTTTGACTTTAAACGGATTTGGAATCGGGTTTTGATTATTTCAATAGGTTCGTATGATGATTTGGACTTGTACATATGTTCGAATTTGGTTTCGGAGGTTCCTAGAAGAATTCGACATTATTTGTCCAAAATTGGCAATTTGAAGAACCTAAGAGTTCATAAGTTTGACCAAGAGTTGGGTTTGATGTTATTGGACTCCAATTGGTGTTCCGAGACTTTGGATAGATCTATATCGTTGAATTGAACTTGTGTGCAAAATTTGAAAGTAATCCGAAGTATTTACTTATGATTCAGACACTCTTTTGAAAGAATGAAAATTTAACAACTTCAGAGAAATTTTATTCGGTTTGAGCCTCGATTCTTTGTTGTGATGTTTCCGTGGGTGTTTTGTGGCTTTGGATAAGTTTGGATAATATATTTATACTTGTTGGTATGATTGGATGAGATCTCGAGGGGCTCAGGTGTATTTTGGATCATTGGTTGAGAAACTAGTTAAGTTAAAGATTTGGAGTTTGACCATGATCAATATCGGGTTAAGATGACCTCTTTTCGATATTTTGAGTGCACGAGCAAGTTCATAACATGTTTTATGATTGAAATGCATATATTGTTTGTTTTCTGGAGGTTCTGAATGTGTTTTGGGTGCTAAAATGATGATTTTCTCATTGCTGTTTTTTTTCTGGTGTAAATAATTACGAAAATGCCATTTATTTCACTAAAATTTTCAGACTTCCTTTAAAGCTTCAAAATATCACATCTCCTTCGTTCTAAGGCCAAATTCGGTGATTCAAAAAGCTATCTTGGGTGCAATCTCGCAAGGATCATGTTGGGCTTATCAAACGTGAGTTTCGAGATCATCTAGGATCTGATTCGGGCTGGGACAACTGCTGCATTTTTACTTATTTCGAAATTTAGTTACTTGTTCTCATAAGGTTTTGGAGTTCAGTTTTGAGCGATTTTGGAGGGAATTTGCACTACTTGGATTGAGATAAGTATCTTGCCTAACTTTGTGTTAGGGAGCTTCCCAGTAGAATTTGGTTTAATTGCACTACTTGAATTATGTGAAAGATGGGTACATGAGGTGACGAGTGTGTACACGAGCTTATATGTGATATTTGACCGATTTAGACTTTTATGCCTTTAATTGAATTTGTTATTATATGGAACACCTTTCATTGTTCATTTATTTACCGTTTCTTTTTGTTGTTGAAACTATTGTACACCTTGTTGTTGAGCCGTGGGTTATATATCATTGTGACATTAGTATTGTTCTTTGAGAAATGTTGTGGAATTGGTGTTGTACCCTATTTTGCACGAGTCAAGACAAGATTCAACTAGTGGTTTCCGTGTTGATGAAAAAGAGTCACCACCTAATATTTAAAGGTATACTAGGGTACCTATTTAGATTATTATCCTATTAGTCTACTAACTGGTGAGATTTGGGTAAGGCTCTTGTTCTTCTAAGGGTAGGTGTTAGGCACCCCCTAGAATCTACCTGAGGTAGCTCCGTAGGACATAGTCAGGGAATTAGATGTTTGTATCCTACTTAGTTTAGTGCTTAAAATTTGCAGCTCATTCTACGTATTGTCTTTAAAGTCTATTATTTTGAAAGGAAGTGATATATGCATTTTGAAAAGAGAACATAGGTTTAATTTGTAAAAGCCTTTTGAAAATATTTACATCTACAAGATTGAAAAGATTTATAAAAGTGTGGCTATGTTATGATTTTTTTTGTCTTTTGAAATAATGTGGTTGTTTTGTGTAAATCTAGTGGAGTAAAAGACTATTGGGAAATGAGTCTTGGATATACCTTTGAAAGTTAATTTTGATTTTTAGCCATGTTTTGGAGAAAACTCATTGGGGTTTGATAACCCTTAAACCTGTCCGTGTTTGACTCTTGTTTATAGAAAACCAACTTCGTAATCCTCCTTTCAATTCCGGCTTTTAAGAAGGGTCATTTGCCTTTTCAAATATGTTTTAAAACTTCAAAAGAACTTAGTTAAAGTGGTTAGCATAAAAAAATAAAATCTTGCATAGTAAAAATAAATGACTAAAGTGTTGAAGTTTTGTGTCTAACACAGTATAAGTTGTGATTCCCTTTTTAATTACCTATGGGCTTTGGCTTGCCAATATTCCTAAAATGATTAAAGCATAAGTAAATCATTCAATAACAATGTTAGTGTCATAACATATATAGAGAATAAACAACATGTACGATTTATCTAAGAGTGAGGAATGGAAAGGTAACTGGACTTGAGATTTGAGCCGAAAGAGAGGTAGGCCCATCAGGTTTCGAACATAACAGTGGCAGGCTTCGGCATTATGGACTCAAGGCTGGAACTTGGGCTTGAGTTTCAAAGAACTCAGCGGTCCCAAACATGCATACAAAAATAGAGAAGACATTAGTGGTGCTACATGAGGCCCAATGAACTATAACATGCACAGCGTGATGAAGAGTACAGTAAAGCCAATATGAGGCCCAATAAAATAATCAAAGAGTAAGCAAAATTAATGATCACAGTGAAGCCATCTTCATTTGCATTAATCCGAAAGAGATTAATAAGTGTCAATGATTAAGAGCTTAGGGTAAAATATCATTCATGGACAAGATAGCCTTTGGATCTCTGGCACTTCAGAGTTCACAAGGGTCTCAGGGACCCCGGCCAGTGCTTGTTTCAGGGAGGACATCTCAACCACAAACTAGATCCGACTCCCAAATACCCTTAACCACTCAGACTCACTCCTCTCTACAGGTTTAGTTGCAAATGAGGCATTCACTGTAGTAACCGGTATATTAACAACAGTAAACACACAGATTTAGGTATAAATAATTTTCACAGAAGTTGTATGGAACACCCTTATCAAATTATGAACAATACAAGATTACATTATTGATTTTGAGACCACAATCCAGACAAAAGAGTGTAGCCTACTGCTAGTACTTTTTATATTTAGTGATATTCAACATGTATAAGAATGCTCAAAGAAACCAACAACTGAAGTGAAACAGGAGAAGCAACCACCGGTAGACTAGTTTAAGTTTAAAATACTAAGTCAGGTAGAGAAGACATGTATATCAACCTCATTAGTCTTACTGATAGGTTTAAATTTGCAGGAGTTATTAATTGAGTTCACAATACTTCAACAGTTAATAGACTATATTCAGAACAATCAAAATAGTTCACACACATTGGTTAAATCCTCAATCTTGTCAAGATATGTAAACTAACAATCTTGTCCAGATTTTCCTAAAGAGTAACAACACCAACAAATGTACTTCTATAGGAAAGAAGGTCAATCTTAATCTAATCCAAACCAGTAACATGATCATTATCCTATCAGGTTCATAATCCAGACTCACATTAGATTATTAAGAGTTAAGGTATTCAGCCAAACACAATGCATTATTCACTCAAACAGGGCAAGCAAATGTTAATGAGTTTCCCTTTAGTTCATAAGTGGTAACAATTAACTTTACATTCCAAATTCTATGTGATTAAGCTATCTAGATTCAACTTCTTCCTTATGGAATAATACATTTGAAGTGAAGAATATGAGGGCTCAAGCTTGAGTATTCTCTTAAATGAAAGACAGACAAGAAGTCTGTTAACAAACAACTAGGTGTAGAGGCTTAACAAAGGATACTAAAACACATAGAAGTGATGTTCCTAAAGAATTGCAAGATTACAGAGTATTGCAGAGGAGCAGATGATCTAGAATCAGATTAGTATGTTCATTATAGAGATCTAAACCATAAGAACATGCGGGTTTTACATGTATTAGGCAGACATGGTTCTAGTGACAAATCAATCAATCCAGTTAAACATACGTTCAAAATAAATCCAGTCGGGTCATTACATTCTCCCCCACTTAAACATACGTTCTTCCTCGAACGTGCCAAGAACTATTCCGGAGTTGTTCAAAATCACATTTTAACGCCTCGCGCACCTGCCCGTGCCACCACAACCCATGTGGGCACATTAGCTCGAGCCAGATTTTATTTAGTCAGTAAGCCTTAGAACCAAATTCCAACCTCCGAATTTCTCTACCAGACCTGATTCTAATATACGAACACCGCATCAATTACCCGACACTGTACCCCACATGACCATGTTGCTCCGTTGAAATCACACCATGCACCACATAAGTCACTTGACCATAATAACATCCTCTAACCACAATAGCTGTAATTTCATGAACCCGGTGCCCGCAATGCACCTCATAACACATATAAGCCCTATTCCCACTCTCGCAATACTGCCACGACGGAATAGATGTGTGGAAACGCATAACCACCTACTGAATCAACAAATCATGGAGTCTCTCCTCCTGACAAGGACCATTACCTCATTATGAATTGAATAGCGATATTTGCTCTCTAATATACCTTATATAAATTTGATTGCACTGATTTCAGGTCCAATAACCTCGTCTCACCCAGTACAAGCTGTTCAGGCAACAAGCCACCTCAAACACTGACCAAGATCTCATATGACACCATAAATGTGCTGACAAGCTACAACTCGAATATGACACATAAGGAGAAACGAACTTTGGAAAAGAACTACCCGGCCCGTGCAGCGAATGAAATGGTCGAACAGATTCTATGAGTCCTTCTCAGAGAATGAGAAACATAATACACAAGCATAGATATAGGGAACCGTACTCAGCATCTCACTGTTGCTGCATGCAACCCGATCCACACATGATACCGTTGCGGCGTGCAACCCGATCCAAACAACATACCCTTGGCGGCGTGCCACTCGATCCACACATAAAAATAAATAAGGAAATACCCATCAAGCCATAATGCTAACACTTACGAGATACCCGAATATCGACCACAAGCACGCTAAGTGCAAAAATGCAACCCTAGGGAGACAGATAGCGCCATACGCCACAAAACCCAAGCACGACAAAGGTGCAATAAATGACCTGCATCTTGAGGGCCATCCTGCTCATATAATAACACAAGCTACACGGGACCACGACACATGTGCGGATAATCAAGTTGCCTTATAACCCACATGGCACAATAGAGTATTACATGGAATAGCTGACGACGGGAATAACATCCAATGCCCGACGACTCCTTCGTGAGCAGTGCTATGCCGAATGAACATATCCGACCTGATGTAGAGCACACATTCACATTAGATCCACCAACGGACCTCAAGTCGATTATGATCATATCATATTGGGCCAACAACCTTCCAATGTTCTACAATGGCCCTATTCATGACTCACATGAGCAACCGTCCAATCTGGAACAAACCCCCCAGTCCACTACCCAAGGAATAGAGTGCCTTCCAGGCATAAACTCTCGCATTAGCGATAGTACCATAATCTCCATACTTGGTTTCAATCTTTAACAATCAAGTGACTAACATGTCACACTTATATAGATTTCCCCGTGTGATACGCTCCCACGACCTTCCACATCAGGTAGCAAGGTCTACACCTCCATACCACCAACAATGCTAATGCTATAAAGCAAATCGAGAATCCACAAATCAGTACACGAAGCCTCTTAGAAAGGACACCGTTCTCAGGTGACACTAAAGAAAATAGCAGCTTACTCTGAACATCTGAATTCTTTCCTGCTCATCCGAGCTCGTAACATTCTTGTCGACACCGAACTGTAACCTTGATCCTCAACTTCCAATTCCCATGCTGCTCACTGTACCTATCATGCCGCTACGCAAGAGTACAAGAATTTCATCATAACTCCTAGACCACCAATAGAATAAACTCTTCATCGTCTAAAACCTCTTTCACTCAATACATTTCAGAGGAACGATGGCAACACGCAACCAAATTCCCATAAGCGCAGCAAGTACGAACCTCAAGTTGTGGTCTAAACCATCATAACTTTTTCGGGATCCATGTACACATAACAGTCCATTATAATCAAATACCTCCAAATCAACCAAATTACGGCAGCTGTCAAGCCCTCACGTATCACCATAAATCACCTGTATAACATCAACACGCCGAAGGAACTGATCATCGCCTCAATCAAGCTGATTCAAACCATTACCAACCGACCCAACTTCCCCCGATTTAC